CGTCGTCGTCGTCATCATCATCATCATCATCATCATCATCATCATCATCATCATCATCATCATCATCATCTCGACATTGCTAGTGGTTGCTGACCGTTCTAGTGTAACAACAATGGCAGCAGCAGCAACATCAACAACAACAACAACAACAACACCAGCAGAAACAATAATTGCTACAACAACAACAACAACAACAACAACAACAACAACAACAACAACAACAACAACACTATCTACAACAACAACAGGAGCAGTATCAACGGCAACAGCAACATTATCAAAAAGTATGTAACTATAGCAACAAAAACAAAAACAACAACAAAAACAACAACAGCAACAACAACAACAACAATAACAACATTAACCTATATTGTATTCATCAGATCCAAGGTGAAGACAGACAACACACAGACATACCCCCCGCCCCCCCCTTCCGCACACACAGATATTATACTACTCACTAACATACGGTACATACCCAACCCATCCCCCCACCACCACACCACCGCCCCTTTTACACACAGACACCCGTGCATACACAGTGACAACAGTTCAAGTTGCCGGCCAGTTGTTAAAACATACTAAACTCACAACTTTGGATTTTTAATACTATTTTAAAAAAAAATTGCAGTTTCTTTTCCTTTGTATCACTTGCATGTGCTCAAGAAATTCCATCGAGATTCAAATTATTAGTAAATTAAAGTTTAAAAAAATGTAAGAATAAAGAGATGCAGAATGCAGGTACAATTGTGAAAATGATAAAACAGTTTTTTCCCCCCTGTACTGAAAACTATTTGAATGTCTTGTTGACAATATAAGATTACCCGGAAGCATCAAGGGGAACGGTTTTACCAAGTTTTACTGTATGGAGTTTGTTATTCTTAATGAAAGTGTTTCCGCTTCGTTTCCAAAGATCTGTTAAAAAAAAGCACTTGTCCGTCGTAGTGTTTTTTCGCGCGCGCGCGCGCGCGCACGTGTGTATGTCTTTGTGTGTGTGTGTGTGTG